CTGACAATATTATCCAACCATATAAGTCCCGTCAATAGCAGTATGTGATATGTATGTATAAGTTTTTATTTTTTATGATTTTTTTTTCTTCGTATGTGTCCAATTGTAATTCACACGAATAAAAAGTATCTATTCACAGAAAAGGAGTCGAACAGTATCCATCAAAATATATACCATATCCATTATCAATCTTTTATCCTATTAATAAATTCTCATATACTATATGTTATTGAACTTGCATGCTAGATTTTGTTTGCTTTTTTTTGTTGTACCCTTCATTTTTCTAGTATCATGCAAATGATTAAGTATGGGTTCATCTATTTTGTGTGATATTTTCATCTATTTCGTACATACACGCTAATTGAGAGATATACCTACTATGAGTATTGAAGTAAAGTGGATGATCATTCAGTTTTAGATGTAGGGAATTGATCATTCAACTTTATATGTCATTTGTCATGAAATAAATGTCATTTGAAAGCTAAATATTAAAAAAAATATGGCAACATATGGCACAATCAACATTCATGATTTATTTTAGCGAGAGACGGAACTAGGATTCAATGTTTAAAGATACCAAAGTATGAAAAACAAAGTTTAATTATGTAATAATTTGGGGTTTTGGGTAGTTATTACCTATGAGAGATGCAAGAGGTTCTAGTAACATAATACAAATCCACCATATATTCATGTTGGAATGGAAATTTGGTATCTTTTTATTTATGTGGGTGTTCCTCTAAGCTGAAGCTTGCTATCAGGTAAACTCTTCATTACGAAACTTATGCTTCATTCTTTCAAATTTTAGAGGACCTACATGGTTGAAGAAAGAGTGCTGCTATTTCCACACACCTGTCATATTTCCCCACCCACTTTATTTTCAAAATTTTATAGACAAATTTATCCATTTGTAAAATGACTTCTAAAGACTATCTAATTTTTAGACACATGTTCAATAACTCAAAAAAAAAACTAATTATTAAAAAAAATTAAAAAATTAAAACCCAACAACCACCAAATCTCCCTCACCCACCCACCCGACTTGTCAGCCATCCCATCCCGCCAGCAGCGACCCCTCCCCCGGCCATTGACAAATCCTCCTTTCCCCTCTATTTCTCTCTATCTAAAGACCTAACTTGGTCAAAACATTGGTATAGAATCCCTGACCGCCCCACCACCCAACCACACATCCGAACCCCACCTCCGCTCTCCTTCTTTTCTCTCTTCCCCTCTCTCTCTCTCTCATCTTCCCCACGCACCCATCCACCCTCCCCCTCCTCATTTTTTTCTCCTTATTTCTCTCATCCCTCCTCTCGACAACCACCCCTATGAATGAAAAGATTCTTTATTTTTCTTTGGTTTGTTGTTTGATATGGTTTTAGGTTGAATAACTCAAAAGGGTTATTGGGTTTTGGATTGGCAGGGGGTTGAAGGCTAGCATGCTTTCAATGAAAGCAAGGGCATGCTGTAGGGGCTTGGGACTAAAGGGTGTCTTTCGGGATTTGTTTAGAATTGTGATTGAAGAAGAATAAGAAGAGGTTGTTGGGTTCGTTTGGGTTTTGGTTGAATTAACAATGAAAGGGTATTTTAGGAATAAAGATGGGTGAAAAAATAGGATTGTTTTTTACAAATTTACATTGTGGGTGGGAAAATAGGACAATGGGGTGGAAATGGCAGCACTCTTGAAGAAATTAATAATTTTTGTACTTTTCTTTTGTGTTGTTTAATTTAGATTGGAATTTGTATTTAATTACCCTTTTATTTCTTTGTTTGATTGATTTCTAAGTTGTTGGGAAACTTGAGTTAGGTATGGGCGAACAAAAAGTGTACCAAAGAAAGGAGGGAGCATGTTTCTTCTTTCATGGCATTGCCATTGGAAGCATGCCCCCTCCTTACTTTTAATTTGGCCGCACCGAACTCAACTTATCCAACAATTGAGAAATAAAAAACTAAAGAGGAATCAAGCACAAATTCTGGTACAAATTATACTACACAAAATAAAAGCAGAAAGATTGTCAATTGCTTCAGCCATGACCTCATAAATCTAAAAGAATGAAGCATAAGTTTCGCAGGAAGAGTTTACATGATAGCAAGCTTTAGCTTAGAGAACACCTTAAAAAAAATGTAATCTTAGAGCTCGTTTGGAAATGAAGAAACAGAAATAGAAAACCAAAATGGTTGTCAAATTCAATCTTAGATTATTGTTTGGTTTTTTGCACAATTGTGGTGTTGGATCATGCAAATGATTAAGCACTGGGCTCATATAATTTGTATGATAAACTTTTCATCAATTTCGTTCATACATGCTAATTGGGAGATTTACCTGCTGGGATTGTGCAGCGACTCATGTAAAATTCACATGCAAAATTCAACAATTATTACAATTATTAGACAAAGATAATCAAACAAACTTTTATACCAATAATCAGAAGAAAAGAAAAAAACACATTTATCACATTAATGAAATTAAATCACCAACTTCTCCTTTTTATGTTTACGGGCTTAATTAAAGGTCAAAGTGATCAGAGGTAGTTGAGGACGTACTCTGTAGGCGCGTGGTCCAGTACTTTCTGCAGGATCGCTTTTTCACTGATACTGTTACCTGCAGCTCGATCCAACGGTCATGATAGCGTCTCGGAACGTGAGATGATCATTGACTGGACCAGTGTTCGGCGACTAGACACGCCGCATGTTAAGGGGTCGCGTGGCGGACGCTGTCGATCATTTCCTTTCAGTCATGTGCCCACAGACGGAGTGGGTCCCGCCCCGCGAGCTCAGTGTTGAATGCGATGACGTCAGCGGATACTTTTTTGGTTGTTAGCTGGAAAGTTTTTGTCTGCGGTTGGACGGACAAGTACGTTCGACGACAATTCCGAGTTTGGGGTTTTTGTTTGACTCAACGATCCGAAACACCGTCCAAAGGCGTAATTGGCGCGAATTTTTGTAATTGGACTGAAGCTTCTACAGTAGGCCCAACTAGTCAGAAGTTTCAACGTTGGGTTGGGCTGTGCCGTTTTACTCATGAAATGGGTCGTTTTGTTTAGAGTATTTTGCACTTTGGAGGGATACAAATTCTCATGTGTTATTGAAAGAATGCAAGTTAACTCATGTGTTGCTTTTAAGTTCACTTATGTTTTTGGGTTGTCTGTGATAGGGTTTTGTTTTTGGTGGGTGCCCAATGTTGGTGGTGGTCCTGGTTAGTTTACGGCAGTGGCAGTTGCGGTGGCGGGGGCTTCGCGGTTTTGTATTCTTGGGTTGGCTATTCGGGTTTTGGATTGTATTTTTGTTTTGGGCTCTGATCCAATCCTTGCTTTGAGGTTTTGATCCAAATTCTTACTTTGGGCTTTTGTCGTGTATTGTAGTGTATATAGGTACTAAATCATCTCAAACTATTTATTTAGGAAGCATGTTTGTTTATGTGTGTTTTTGTTGAAAGCACTTTTATCAGAAATAATTCAAAATTTTAATACACATTTCAAGTGTTTCCTAATTCAGTATGTACATGCAAATATTAGCAGTGTTTCCTAATTGTATACTCTTTTTTTAGTACTCCATAATTGTATACCTTTGGAAGCAAACTCAAAATTAGCAGTCTCAATTAAATAGTAAATTTTACTAAATAAATTTTAACGATACAACCAAGACGTTATAAGACAGCTAAAGCGCCAAATTCGATGTTTTTTTTCATAAGAGTTAGCACAAGGCATGCCACTGAAATCATGTGGAATAATTGTGCAACTCCATTAAAACAGTGTTACAATGTGATGGTGGTTGTAACAGCCCCAAATGTAATAAACAAATAGAGAAATTATTATCATGACAACGAAAACGGAAGGTGGTAATAAGAATTTCAGAGGATAAAGTTAACAAGAAGATGCCAAAACATGATTGAGTTTTTTCGACGGTGGCCCATGACATCAAATCCCCATTATCTTTCCTGCTTTCTTCCCCAATCCTCGTATCCATGCTTTTTTAACAGTCTTATGAATATTTCAAGAGGCAACTGTTGTTTATATTTTTTGCACCAGAGTATTATGAATATTTCCTAGACACCTTCTTTCGTACCCGCACGAGTGACCGACTACAACTGTTGATGCATATATTATTTACATTTGTATCAATATTTATAAGTCGTTTCACTCAAGGAGATTACAACTGTTGATATACATGGTGTTCACATTACATCAAAATCTATAAGTCGTTCACTCATGACAATTATCCGTGTCGTTTACAAATTACAACTAGCCGTGAGTCATGAGTGATCGACGAGTAGTTCACGACAACTGTCCCAGCCAGCAACGTTTCTATACGGGGATTATCATGTTATTTTGGATCCGCCCTTTTGATGATAAGAGCGGGGAAGTACTTATGTCCCCCATACCTCAAAGATCAAATCATATCCGATTAAGTTTAGACTTAACCATCAAAGATCAAAGAATCAAAAAGCGAGTGTGTAGTCAACATTGTGGGCAAACGGATTCCAAAAAAGTGATAGAAACCAATGAATCATGCCACACGATTTGCTACAACTTTCTGGAAAAGATATTTATTAAAAGAAAAAGAAAAAACAAAGTGAAAGGTCAGTTTGACCTACCACACCACACAACACCATCTTTTGTTTAACAAAATGAAGGGTCATTTTGCCAAAGTCTCATTTACTCTCTCAGAAAGGCATGCATACATAAAGTGTTGTGGCATCAAAATCACAAAGGCACATATAACATTCATTTGAAAGTTACACCAATCCAATCCAATCCAATCCACCTTTTCTCCAAGACAAAGTAATTACATGAACAAGTACTTTGTGGTTAATTAGCAGCACACAATTATTATTATTACAAAAATTAGAGGATTAACTTACATTAGTGCCAAAAATCTAGACAAGGTGAAAATTAAAAGATGCCACCAACAAGAAAGAAGAAAAAGAAAAAAAAACCATGTGGTTGGAGTTATTAAATATAAAGTAAGATTCCCAGAACATAATTAAGCTGTTCTAATCACAATTATTTGGCTCTGTCCTTGATCACATCCATCCCCATCTCAGTTGGATCAGTGGCCTGGAGTTCATAGCTGATGCCATCCAGAACTCTCCTCAGCCCAGCTTTGGAGGTTGCATACAGAATTTTTGCCCTAATTCTTGATGCACTTGGTGACCTGCCAAAAAATCCAAATTCCCATCACCTCTAAATCCCCCATAATACAAAATGCTTTACTGCATAAATCATCATTAGGAGAATAACCCATTTTCCAAAATAAAAAAAGGGTTTAATTTCTGATGTCCCCATGTAAGCAAATATTTTATCAGAAATCCAAAATTAGGTAGGCCTAATTAGGTACAATTTCAATGATTACCAGAAGACAGACAAAATTAAAACATTATTATACAAATTTTGATCTTGATGATGAGCATGGAAATTAAAAAAGAAATAGAAATGAAGACAAAATAAACTGACCAAGCAATGAAGAAGAGTTTGCTCTTCCTGCAATTATCAACAGTGACAAAATCAAAGTCAAAGACTGCATATCTGCAATCATCTTTGGGCAAGGAGGCTGCCAGATCATCATAGCTCTCACCAGGCCCTCCAACCTTATCAACAGTGACCAACCTTGATCCTTCATCAATCTTGAACACTATGTACCTGTGGACCTTCTTCCATTTCATCTCCATGAATGAGCTCTTGCACTCATCTGTAACCCACATCCCAGTTGTAGCCTATAATTGCCACAACAGATTAAAACCCACAAGTTAGAAGAATCCCATCAGCATTCTTCAGGGTTCAGCTAAAAATTGAGAGCAAATTATATTTATTGAAATTTAAAAATGAAGAAGCAATTAAATATTCAAAGAAATTAATTGACTTTGTACCATCTTGAATGCCATTGCCATGGTTGCTGAAAACTTGAAATTGAAGAAAGGGGGTCTGCTACTGCTGATGCTGCTGCTCTGCTGAAACTCTGAGGCTGAGTCTTCAAAGTTGTGCTTTGCTCTTTATATAAAGGCAGGGTTGCTCAAATGCCCATTAATGTTCACTTATATTACAACTTTCTCCATGCTAGATCTATCTATGCTGTGCACACTCATTTTCAATGACCAAGTTGCCCTTAAATTAGTAGATTTAGTTTGTCGTCGAGTTGGTTACACTCGGGCTCTTGTCTCCCCTTCCAGGTGAGTTTTTTTTTTTACCATGTTGGTATTTTGCACCCAAATGTCTGTATGTAACTTCATATTTTAACCAATCACAAGTTTTTTATTTCCGGGTTTTATTTGAGAGTCGATCAGGACCATCGTAAGATGTCATCCAATAAAATTAGAACGATACAAAGAATGTTAGGAAGGTGTTACGAAAGTAGTAGTACATGCAGCTTAAGGCAACATACCTGCAGCTTAATGACTTTCAAAATTTCTTTAGCTTTTAATATCTGTCTATTTGAAGGCATAAATTTTATCCAACCATTAATTGTCTTCGTTATCCAATGAATTTGTTCTGTTGGTGCTAAGGGGAAAAAAGTACCAGACTTGGTTGAAATTTAACTCTTTCTCACTCATCTCATGCAATGGACTTTGTATACTCATTGTCTGCAGTCGAACTTGAATTCTTACCCCATTTCCAGTAATTTATAGTGCAAATAATTGTATATGGAAAACTGAGGGTACAAGGTCCTTTTCCAACAAGTAATTTCTCGGTGTGATCGTAATGGCATGTAACATGATATCGACGTAGTGTTAACACACGTGTATGTTTATTAATCCTATATCCTAAAGTATAAACACATCGTCTTTACCCTAATTACAATAGCAAAAGAAACGATCGCAGCACAAACTGCAACAGCAAATTAGTGCAAGGCTCATTAACCCAATTACTGAAATACCATACTGACCTATATACAGCTGGTCAATGTGATCAAATTATAACTAAATATACAAATTTTCTTAAAATGAACCCATATAGATGGTATGCTGGTCCCATCTTGGATCGCACACCCACATCCCAATCTCCCATTCAATCTAAATATCTTTGTGTTCTTCTATGAGTCTTTGCGTGAAAGCAAAGGAGAAAAAGAAAGAGAATTCATCACCTTATGCAGTAAAAGAAGGGAAGGGGGGGACTACAGATTAAAAATGAAAAAAGAAAAGATTTTCTCGGGTGAAAATGAGTCGGTGTATGTGCCTCCAATCAGAGTTTTTTTTTCTTCTTCTGGTTAGGTTCACTTGCCTGCCCAGTGCCCACTTGTTTTATCATATTCTGCTTGTTTTTATATTCATAATTATTGCAAAGCTTGAGTTCTTCCATAAATTTGTCTTTAAAAACTGTTGAAGATAGGAGCAACACCCCAACATTCATCCCATAAAATAATGGAGCAAAATCCACACCTAATATTTGTGATAAACATGACACATCTGAGAGATAGAAAGGGTAGAAAATACCAAGCACTAAAATCCAGGAAAATTTGCATACAAGAAGAGGAAATGCATGGATGGACGTGTATGGGGGAACATGCCCTTTTCATCTGAAAGACCCTGCCCATTGACAAAAAACTCCATCAGCCCCACAACTTGTGGGTGTGGCTCATTTGTTTTCTAGGGTCTCAGTTTATAGGCCCCATGTATATGTACGCATGCTCAATGCAAGGTTTAGTTATGAATAATATGACCTGGATTTGATACCATTTCAACAAATCTCAGCTTCTTTTTAATGGAAGTGCTTAAATGGTGGTTCACATTGATCTGATGGCATAATGCGTACCCAACTATCAACAGAGGCAGACGTGAGTTAAGCAAGTTGGTTAGAACAGTGAACGCGCCCTTTTGCACTAAAATTTGAATCATCTCCGTAAATTAATTTATAGTAGTTTAAACTATCGATGCAAATATAATTTTCATGCAATTATATATAAAAAAATCTAGCAATTATAGAGGCAAATATAATTTTCATGCAAAACCAGCTAGCCAGCAAATCTATGCGAAAGCCAGGGATAAGGTCACAGAAGAAGGTCAAGCATGGTGGCTGGATCTGCTTTTAAAATTCTTTAAGACCTTTGCATTGAAAAAGTAATCAAGAGTTCTACAACGGTTACCAAATGCAAGACTCAATGCATTAGAAAGTTCTTGGAAAGGCTCTAAAAGCTCCTGCAGAGACCAAGTTCGTCTCACGGGTAAGGGGGCCTAAGCACCAAAAAAATGACATCTAAACAATGAGAAGCAAAGCTTTAGATTGGAGGCTCCAAACGAAAAGGCATCCATACCAAGTAGCCATTATTTTAGAAGCCAATAAGAAGAGTGGTTTCGATGAGCTGTTAAATGATGGCGTAAATTTGATTGAACAGCTGAATGATTGCGAACAACCAAATTACGAAGGAGCAAAGTTAAAGCATCTGGAAATCTATTTGTTCTTTTCTTCTCTCCCTTTTTGTCAATTAAAACAACCATACATGACGCCATGAAGTTTGCCACAGTTCATCCCATTGTTTACATTACAAAAAACATGAATTGAAATGCAGCATAACTTGATTAACTTGTAACATAATCTCAGAAATCCTAATCTGCATCTGTTTCTGTATCATCTTCCCACAACATAAATAAGCCTTCCCTTGGAACGAATAGCTCATTGATCTGCAACAGAGGAAACAGATGCTTCTGAGAAAATCAATCTAGGTCAACACAGAGAAGGCGTCATCATAGTTAGAATTGGATTCTGAATATGAATGCTTACTTCGAAGATACAAAAGTTGATCTAGTAACATTTTCATTTGTCCTTGTTTGATGGTTCTTCTTCATCCTTTTGTGGAGACTAGCGATTACAGGAACGGAAAAACTATCATTAGTTGGTAGATCTAGAAACTCGCAATAACAGATCTTAACACCAAGTCAAAAGATGAACTTTATGACATAGAATAATCAAAGTCGTAACCCGTTACCCATGAAGTGTAAGGTTTGTGAACATACCTCGGACTGATTCTTCAGAGATGCAAGAAGATCTTTCACTGAAGGATCATTGGGGTCAACTCCCGGAAGCTGTAAGGAAAAAATAACATATCAGAAAATCAGAAACATAGCTATACATATAGTACCACAGGCTAGGTTCAACTGGACATACTGATTCAAGGATAGATGAAAGAAAAGACTGGTCCTCCAACACCTTGCTGACATCAGACTGGGATGAGGGCTCTCCGGCACTTTCCTGCATGGACATTTGAAGAGCTGCATGCAGCAAAGATATAATAAGCATGCAAAAATAACAAATATTATCACATTTCTCTGTCAATGTTCCGAATATTGGCAAATCAAATTCCATATTAACCAGACACAAGGTAAAACATAAAAATCAATCAATAAAAAGCCACACCATAGGTGATCACATTCTGATGCCCAACTTCACCAAATTAGTCTCGGGGCAGCTAAGCGGTCCATGGCAATGACTATGAATTACATGAACTCATAACTCATAGATTTGGGATTCAGTAAAGGATACCACTAGTAAGAACAGCCCAAAGTGGAACACATGAAGAAAGTAGACCACTCAACATGTAAAGAGAAAGAACTGCCAAGTATAAACCTATGAATGGCTTATTCATCTGATGGTATTGCTATCAAGTTGCTTATCAAAAGGAAAAAAAGGAGGAATATGAAGTCAAATAGTTGTAGAGATAAACTAGAATCTATTAAAATGAAAGGATTGTGACCTTCAAAAATCGTACAAGAATACTTGTACAAATGAAAGGAATAATTGCACAATAATACTTAATGTCATTGAAATACAATACGGAGTGGCACCGTCCCTTAATTAAGCTTTCTTGAGGGTTCCCTCAATTGTGCATGAAATGGAATAAACACAAACACATTGTACATCAATTTCCACAAGTAATCAAGTACAAGAAACTAAAGTTACCACACACAACTAAATAATTTGAGATATACGAAATAGAAAAACCCACCTAAAGCCAACTCCTGATCTCCACTAGTTGCCTCTGACATCTCAGTATCACCTGCTGAATGACCAGTTCCAGAGATATTCATTGACATTGCAAGAGCCTCCTTCAGCAAGTCATTCTCATCAACCTATCACACATATCACGAGACAAGGCCAATTTGGATTACAGCAGTTCTTTAAATGATAACTAATGATGACATAAAAACCAACAATTATATAGACTTTAAGAACTACACAAGAAAATTGAAACCAACCGCATTATCAGTAAGTTTCTTATCCTCATTGGAAGAAGAAACATTGACTTGATCTGTCATGGTTACATCCTCTGATTTGGATGATGGTTCCTCTCCTTTTTCTTGTCTACCAGCTTCTTCAGCAGCTCTTTTGGCAGCAGCTTCTTGCCTAGCCCTTTCCTCCTCCATAGAAACTCTAAGGGCAAGAGCGAGCTCAGGATCAATATTGGGATCTACGCCAAAATCGTAGCCAGAACCACCACCAATAGCAGCCGCAGTTGCTGCTGCTGCTGCCACTGCAAAGCCACTACCTCCTTCTCCATCGCCAGTGAATACAGGTGTACTGCCATAAAATAGGGGGAAAAATCATCACTGGAGACATATAATAAGAGTGATCTGGTGTGATGTGTTCACTGTGTTATTCAACAAGCAAAAATTGGCCATGACACATAAAACATATGTGAAGATAGAAAGAAAATTAGAAACTTATGCCTATTAATTTCTGAAAATTAATTTGGCAAATAATACTTTGAGCTTATATACATATTCTTCCACAAATTCTCCTCGTCTTTTCAATACCTCTTATTCTCACTTTTCTGTTCTTCCTTCGTTTAACATGCATCGTTTTTATAAACAGTATCATGAATCTAAACATATATTCCAATTAGTTCCAGTGACACATAAATTTAAAATTGGTTATACGCTTACATATAAACAGACATGGGCAAAAATTAAAAACTGCACCTTATAAGAACATCAGAGAGAGCATTTGGACCAGGAGGGACATGTACTATATGACTGCTGTCATTGTTATTAACAGCAGACAGAAGGGCCTCCAGCTTCTCTGGCTTCCCATCATCCTCTTCACCGAAATCAACAATATCAAGAGCAACACTGTTCTTTTTCAGTTTCTTTCCAATTGTTTCCAACACCTTCTTTTCATATTTGACAGGGCTGAACAGGCAGTAAATAAGTTAGAGGTCAGCAAGAAAATACAAAGAAAAAAGGAGAGGGGCAAGTCAGAAGTCAGCACTATCTATACCTCCCAGCAAAAACTATAATCCGCTGCTGTTGGTTTTTGTTTTGGCGATGCTTAAGAGCCAACTGAGCTACTTGGATCGCAGCTGTTATGTTCATCTCACCTCCCATCTCCAGACCTATATATAAGGAATTAGAGATAGAAAAATAAGAAGAGAGGAGAGAGTACCCATTAAACTAAAATATTGACAACCAGCATCAAAAAGAAAATGAATCATAGTCAAGCAGAGGCCTAACCATCTCTTGTTACTTTCTCAGTGTATATAGTAAGACCCAATCTCAAATGCATAGATATTATCTAGTAGTAAGCCCTTTCAACATTGTCTTTAAAACCAAAAGTAACAACATTCAATTATTATCTTGTGCTCCCCATATGGCTTTTCTAAATACCAATGCCCCCCTTGAGCAAGATCATTTATACTCGACTAAAACCATTCTTAACTGCTTCAAAGATATATTTTTATCAGCTATTTGACTCTATATGCAAGGCAAACATATAAAGTTTTCCAATCAGAATCATATAACACAAGCAAATTAGTAATGAATGAAAATACCGTGCATGCAAGCCAAAATCCTGCCAAGATCAGAGGTTGGAGTGGCCAACACGCGTACCCCTTTGCCAGCCATTGTTAATACCCCAACTGTATTCTCCGGATTGGCCTACTCCAATTACAAACACCATTATTGAAAAAAATAGAACTGGTACCAAAAATTCGTAAAGGGAAGAACTTGATTAAGAGAAAAAGAACCTGGGTTTTGGCACCACAAATGAGATTAATAGCGTCAGCTTGAGCTTGTAATCTGGACGGAGAGTAATCGCCGTTCCGCATCCATTCTGAATTGTCGACGCAGATCATAGTCGCCTGAGAATTCATCAAATTTAAGTATAATCATCATACAATATCGTATAGAAACCCTAAAGATCTGAACTTTCGAAGAAGAAGATGGCTAACCTCGAGAACCATGATTGCAGAGTTTGTTGAACGTTGGCTTCACAACTCAAAGAAGGTATCGCAGTGTTTTCTGTAAATGCGTAAAGTTACAGTGTCTCCCAAAATGGATTTGTATTTTGTATGTTATGCTTCTTTTCAGTTATTTATTTCTTTTATTTATCAAGAAGTCACTCCATAAATAGTACGATTTTATATTTCAATACGAAAACTAATTAACGGGTTCTTTATTTTAGAGCATGGTTTAAATTTGTAAATACAAGATCTACATTTGGGTTAGGCCGGTTGGCCAAAATAGTGCGTCGCCTCCTTGCACTCGAGTTCGATCCCCTTCCCCGTAAGTTAAGGTGGTTTAGAATTAAAAAAAAATATTAATCATTGACGACGGGGTCACAATTTCATAGCCGGGTTTAAATTTGTAAATTATCATTCAAAAAAGTTCACCAAACCTCAATCAAAACCAATTTCATTGAAATAGTCTAAGTCCAGACCAAGCCACCAAGCCATCAAACTCCGCTAAATGTCAACCAAATGGGATCACAGTGCTTAAATTAACTTGGGTAAGATTAAGCCCCTCTGCCTCAGAAATTCCATGAAGATTATCAAGTAGGAACTGCCGCCTACTAAGGAACCTATACTTATTGGATTATGGTGTTCATGGAGATGTGGGGTTCATATGCATTCTACATCCTACACAGGAGCAATTGATTCAAGAACCAGGTTGACAGGTTCAAAGTTGGCTTGATGCTCAAACTGGCCTGGAATTTTTTTCTTTATTGATGAAACCTCAGAAATTATACAAGGCAACACTCAAAGGTATGCACAATTTGCGGGGAGGCAATTCTAACTTGATACACGGAACAAATCAACAATACAAGATTGAAATCCAAGGATAATTTATACACCCAGAGTTCTGGAGATGATAGATGATGGTCTATGGTTTCGACTAATCGGTAAGTGAACGTAAACCTCATGAACTTCCTGTTTACAAACCTCACCTCTGTCCCTATCTATGGCATAGCACACGTACACGGTGTCAATTACATTGTCCAGCACATGGACAAAGAAACCCAGTACCAAGATCAGCAACACCCATGCCAGCAAAGCCACAAAGTACGAATCAATCCCAAGATTGCTTACGCCCTTTAAGATAGCACACACCTGTTGATGCAAATCCATTATCAGGAGATATAAAGGAAAAAAGCAAATGAAAGAAAGATGATGCAACTAAAAGAGAACCCTCAACTCTCTTTGCTCAGCCAGGCCACACTGAAAAGTGCAGCGGAGGAGGACTAAAAGGTAAGAATGTCACATGTCATTAATTGCATTAGGAGATCTAAATAGAGCCTTTACTAACTTGCAAGAATTTCATCAATATATGGATGGGTTCCTGACATACCACACATAATGCACTAATCAATGGAATGCTGAATGATTGAGATTTGAAAAGACAACATACCGCAATTGCATATATTGCTGAGAGTACAAAAACAATTCCAGCCAGTAGACGAGTGGAGATGGTTTCTACGAACACCGCAGAGAGAAGATTACGTTTTAGAAGCTCATATGTCATCCTTGCAGAAGAACAGTAAGCTTCACCAGTTATTGCTGCAAAGTTGATTGTAAACTTGTTGAGGAAGTCAATCGCTGAGAATAAGGCATTAACACAGCAGCGTAATACAAAATTCATCATTCCGGGTGCACCCTCTCGTCTTGCACCATCAACCACGGCACGCACCACTCGAACAACAGCTAAAAGCAATCCAGATACACATACTGTGCCGAAGGAGGGGCCAAAGGCATTTCTGCAAGTGTTTACAGGAACATGAGAAAGGAAGATCTTATCATGAACACAAATGACATGTACAGTAATGCATAAATCTTGGTTGTAATTCATATGTCAACCAATTCCCCCCAAAAAAAAGAAGATAAAAAGAATATCATATTGACCAGATTACTATTCTCACAAGCATATGATTTGATTCACGGACAAAACAAAGAATAAAGAACAAGATTGAAAAGTACAAATAATTGTATCAAGAAAACAAATTTGTAAAAACAAGAAGCAGGTACCCATCTGACTCAATGAAGACAAGCTAAACAAAGATTGCCTAGTATCTATATCACAATTGGAAAATATTTACATTAGAGACAATATAGTCATTCTGATGGGTTGGTTCAGAATAGGTGGAACTTAGAAAACAAATTGGTGGCCAACCGGCCTCCCGGACAAAAATGTATACAGATTACCTTCCCTACAAGGGATTTATATACATACATACATTGTTTGCAAGTAAATTGACCGTGCTTTCCTAGCCTATTGAAATTCAACAGAGTGAATCACCAACTTTACAGAGCTCTACTACTCTTTTTCATCTAGTTTGGAGCAGTGTACATTTCAATTGCAAGTTTCAACTACCTTCAAGAATAACAAAGATATATATGAACTTATATAAATCACTCTAAACATAGAAGAAAGACAAAAGAAAGTAGCAATAAATAGTTCACCTTAAAGAACTTCTAATAATCCGCCTTGGAGTTGAATCCTCCTTCGTGAAGTACCACTGAGCAACAGTCCCACTAATCACATACACCTGAGCTTCCACCATAGTCGTTAGAGACCACAACATAGTGAGAATTGCCAATGCATAATAAGCAGGCACCCAGCCATCTTGCTTCCACACACAGGTATACACATCGTTCGATTCTCGGGGCACAATCTTCCCATTCAACCTCGCAAACACCAAGAACACAACAATGGGAGCATAGTAAACCACCAATGCCAGAGTCAAACATGGCAAGACCCCAAACAAACCCAAGTTCCTCGAAAGCGCATTGGAGGCCACCCCAATTATACTCACAGTGAGCTCAATTCGATGCCAATTGACAACAAGTATCCACACAAGGACCCCAATTACCAAAAACACAAATATCAAAACCAAAATTCTGTAAAGTAAAGGCAATGCATCGCTGCAAGTTGAGCTGAGAGTACAAGCAACGAACCAATACACGTTGAAGAAAATTGGGAACACAATGAAGAAGGGGAGAAAGACATAGACAACTTGCTTAGCATAGTGCTTGAGAAGCAACAGCAAGCTGATGCAAATGGGCAAGCTCAAAATCAACGTAATTACGAGGGTCCATGTTAAATCTTTGAGAAAAGACGAAGAGGAAGAAGAGAAAGTGAGGAGGACCCAGTTGGGGTGATGGGTCAAAGTGTCGTTTTCTACGCAAGAGGTGGAGTCAGAGTCGTAGACGAAGGAGGAGAGGTTGGAGTAACTGGTGTTCCGGTGAAAGACGGAGAAGATTCCGAAGGCGAAGGTGGCGAGGACGAAAAGGACGAAGATGATTAGAAAGGGTAGGTCTTTGAAAGGGCGTGGGCCGTAGTTGTAGGAGATCTGGAGATACTGCGTCGGGTCGGATTCTGAATCGGGTTGGTCGGTGTAAGACGGGGGTGAGGATGGCGGTGGCGGCGGTGGGTCGTCGATTGGGTTGGGGGGCTTGGAGAGGAGGGGTGCGGAGGGAGACGACGAGTCGAAGAAGGAGATGGGCCTGTTGGATTCTTCAGAGCTGCCCATCGGAGCTCAGAAAGAGAGAAGGAGATGGTGGTTGGGGTTTGGGTTTAGGTAAGGTGGAGAAGGAGGATCATTTTGTTTTCGTTGACTGTTAAGCTGAGAGTGCGTGGAGTAGTAGATGATGATGAGGATGATAAGCCTACAGAGAGTATGAGTTGGCAATTCCCAAATACAAATTTTGGTCGGTTCGGAACAGTGGACTTTAGTAGGGGAGAGGCTCTTACTTTTAGACATTCCTTTTTTAAATTTGCTCGTTAAAAACGTTATTAAAAAAAAACATCGAAATTTAATTAAAAAGTCAAGTGTGTTTTCTGAAACATTTGAGCTTCTGTCCTTGATATCCCTGGGAGGCATAACTGCCGGACATGAATTGGTTTCAAGTTTTCAACTTTGATGAGTCTGCCTGATCGGATTGTCCTATAAATATATGCATTCGTTTAATAACATGCATCCAACAACTTTTAACTCAACATCTTGATGATGATATGGTTTATGTTTAGATACGAGGACAACTTAATGGTCCTATTCATATGTTATTTTCAAAAATCTTCATTATTTTGTTGTGATTAGTCGAAGGACCTAGTATCAAGTATGATTTAGCTGCAAATTAGATGAGAGGAAAAAAGAGAAGAAGAAAAAATATTTTTGTGATCGGTCTCGAGTGTCGATTTACACACAGAATTCAAGAAACTATGAAAACATGTCGCCGTCCAATGTGTTACACATGAGTAATAATATTACACGCACCAACTCTTATCTAAACTTTCTCACATAATATCAGCGTTTACATGGTTTCATAAGCTCATGGCAACAACAAATGGGAAGTCATATTGACAACAATAAATGCTTGTCCCTTGAAGCTACTTCAATGCCTTCAAAAGCAAACTTCAGAATGAAAGTCAAATATACAAGCCTGGGGAAAATGGAGGCAAACGAAAAAAATAACGATGGTTTCTATTCGGTTCCTCACTTCCTCTACAACAAACATGTTTTGTATTAACAACTGCTGCCAATTACAAAAAAAGAAACTGTAATATATCCAGGAGAAAAGCCCAAGCCTAGTGAAACTTTGGTAAAAGGGGGCAAAAGTGTATCAGTCATCTAAGAATCAATCTAGTAAGCTCAAAGTAAAAATTCTTTGTAAAAAGTGTCAACTTTCCTCATCCCACTGGCTCTGGGGTATCTCTCCAGATTCAGCAATAGTAACCTTCTTTCTGGGTTTTCCGCTGTAGGTTCCAGCCCCGCCTTCAATTGCATACACAGTGTCCATGCCTTGAATTACCTTGCCAAAGACAACATGCTCCCCATCCAACCTGTAGAACGCATACCACACATTGCCATTATATAACTAGCCTCGGGTGAGATGTGCATCATAGCCTCATACCTATATAGCATGCAATGTAACTTTTTCCCCCCTTCTCTTATACTGTCTACAATTACAAACACTCTGAAGGTAATTTCGTATCTCTAGAATGATGTAAGTTGATGACCCTCAGAAACTTCAGTGTTATTCTTAAAGGTAAGATTCCAAAATTCAGCATCATAGATGCATGAGAAAGTTTTCAATACCTCCTGTTTGCGATATGTGTGTAAGCACACATGCAAGCATGTGGATGCATGCACACAAATACAGACATTTTCTTTCTTGTTTTTTTATTTAAAATTTTTAATTTTGGCCTGCTACACATGTTCTGTCAACTCCATTTGATAATAATAGCTTTGATCTTATCATCTTCTGTCATATGCATAAAATTCTTGACTAAGCATGGTCAAGTCCGACTACTCTTATCGAAGCACCACAGGAGAAGCTGTCCTAGTAGCAGTTAAATAGTCATTAGGAATTTAGGAGCAGATTGTATACTATAAGTACACAATCTTGGACAGTTGGACCTATCTCAAAGAAGAAGAAAAGGTATACTATTGGAAAGTTCTGAAAAGAGCAATTATGCGTTTGTCTGGCTGTATACTCTGAAACTTTGTACAGAGCCAATTATTTCTGCTCATGTACTAATATTCAGAATTCCAACCTAAAGAATAGCTTACCAACTAGCTTTGATTGTGGTGATAAAGAACTGTGAGCCATTGGAATCAGGTCCTGAATTCACCATAGAAACAACACCTGCACATAAACTGCAGTTTCAGAGGAATAACAATATAAATGAACTAGAAAGAATTAGAGAACTTGGAGCTTTAGAAATCCATAGATCATTAACAAAAGAAAAGTGACAACCATAAACTTTTTTAAATTAAACACCTGCGTGTGAATGTTTCACTCTGAAATTCTCATCAGCAAATGTGCCACCATATATAGATTCATATCCCCTCCCATCACGATAAACAATATCTCCACCTTGAATCATGAACCCAGATACGATACGATGAAATGGTGTTCCCTTATAGTGGAGCGGTTTTCCCTTAGCACCTTTGCCTTTTTCCCCTAAATTCAAATAAAGTTTCAATAAGCATAATGACTGTAAGAACAGCTTCTTTCAGTGATAAAATATCGAAGTAGGTCCATGTACCTGTGCACAATGCCCTAAAATTTTCTGCAAACCAAAGATTCAAGTATTAGGCAATTAAGTGGTATGAGGTAAACATAATCAATTCACAAGAAAGTGCTAATGTAATAAGCATGGTGCAAAAGAGGAAGCAAGTGGGCACATCCATTTCTAATATAGCAATCAAACTCAGCAAGAAAATGCCACTGCTTGAGAAGGATTACAGCTTATCACCATGAACTGCTGTCTATATTCCCACATTTGGATACGTAAAATAAGGTGGATTATTGTCAACCTATTTGTGAACTAAATACCAAATTGTGACAAATTGAAACAAATTAGGTTTCTACAATTCTAACGTAAAGGCATTAAAACATGAAATGAACACGTACCAACAGTTTTTGGTACAACCTGACCATATAATCCAATCACAATTCTACCTGCATATGTAAAGGTGAAAATAGAAGTTATCAGTGGATAGGAAACCAATATGAAATTGGCGGAAGGTAGTTCATGTAATAGTATTGACATGAAGCTGTACCTAAGTGCTGTCCGTCAATATCAACATCCAGGTATACTCTGTGGGTAATTTCAGGCACCTCTTCTAGTTTCTCTTCCTCCTACAAATCAAGTTAGAGACTCTAATCAATTTTTTTGTAGATACTGATTTTAGATGCAGGCCACTGTACTCTTACAGAAGCTGAAAACATCATTACTCAAAGAATAAACCACTTCAAACTACACCCGTCTATTCAGAAAAGTTTTGCAGCCCACCAAGACTTCACAGGATCTGGTACACCAACAAGGCATGAATAACATGCAGCCATGTTTTATCATCCCTATATATATCCTTAACGAAGCATTAATTGACACACCCGTAATGTTTTCTTTTGTTCGGGTGATATAAATAGAAACCAGATGTCAAGCACCAAAGATCCCCCACTACCCACACCCACCTACACTTACATTCTGGTATCTGTTTTAAGCAAACTGCCAGAGTCTCTGGACATTACAGATCCCGCATGGGGCTAGAGAACAGAACCCACAACTAGTAACTATGTTTCAAGGAACAAAATGCTTGAATCTGGAATGTATTATGACAATGAAAATAGCTAGACTCATAGACATGAGCTACATAGGCAAGCACTCTGGATATATAACATAATAATGGCATTTACACAGTTTGACCAACATACAAGGCTCCATTCATAAGCAGTTGTTCAACATTTAGAACAGCATCCCCATCTAACCACTCTTAACCATTTCACCATTTAACAGATTCCAAATTATTGGTACCCAATTAAGCATTCATTAAATAGAGTATCTGTGACTAATACGTCGCAAATTCTGATTCCCAGATGCCATAAGCAAGACACTCCAACCAAACCCATATGAGAAAGCAACCCACACAAAGTATCCAGGTCATAAAGCACCAAAATTTCAACAAAGCACATCAAACCCACATTGGAAATCCCAGATTTCAGCACAAAGAGCTACAAATTGTCACTCAGATCCATGAAAGCTAAATAGCTTACCTTTTATGGGTGGAAGAGAAGACGAAAATGAGGAAAAGGGCGAGAACGAGGAAGATGAGGAGGGATCGTGGCTGAAGCAGAGCGGAGATTTCTCGACGCATCGTTTCAATCCTCTCTCTCGCTTTGTTTATCTGAATTAAGAAGTAGGCTTATATCCACCACCTGCTTGATCTTCCATGTTACTTTCTCTCTCTCTCTCTCTCTCTCCTTAATAGAAAGACCAAAAATACGGTGCTGCCAGTGACCTCTGAACTCAGACAGACAGACTGATGAGAGAGAGGCAGAGAACAAAGGCCTGGAATTTCCGGTCCAACAGACACAACACAATGAGAAAGTTTAGGTGCTCTAATCTTACTTTACATTTTATTTTTTTGGGTAAAGACGCTATTCCCTTCCAATAATCTTTTTTTATCTTCTTTTTTTTTCTTGAATGATTAATCTTATTTTATTAAACAAGTACAAATGATTTATGATTATTTGTTGAGGGCATTTATTGATATTTTTTTTTATGTGTCTCAGCATAGTATAGAGGCAAGGATGAAATTAAATCATGTTTCTGGGTAAAACTACTCCGCAATGTACAGATGTTGGGCATTTCTATTGTCCCTTCGGGACATCTGATAAAATTGATTTTGAGTTAGATATTCTCATTTTATTAAAAATTTAAGCGAATAAATTGTTTATGTGTTGGACCGAACAGCCACGTGTATGACTTAAAATTGGTCAAATTTTAAGAAATTAAGTCATATCTATGCATATTTTGAACTGCAACAGTACAGCAAAACACAGATCCAAATGACTTCAAATTCTTTTCAATGACCCTAAAAAAAACCCCCCCACAGTGCATCCCTTGGGCCCTCAAAAAGGGATACATAGAACTGACTTTGGTGGCTCACTTATTGAATCAAACTTTGGGCTGTCCAACCTTTTATCTCCAGGGAATCTTATGAAAATCCTGTTCATATAAGCACTTGCAAAATTGGGCCGTACAACAATTATGGTAGCAGAAAGTTGAGCTTTAAATTGTGCCCTCTTCTTTTTTTTTTTTTTTTTATAAGAATTTTGGTTTCGTAAATATGTGGTTGAACAAGCGTGCTTCTGAAAAAAGCAAAATATGAGCAAAAGTGCTTTATTTATTGGATTGAACAAACTTTTATCTCCGACCAGAACCCAACCTAAATAGAGGCCTCTTTCTTTTGGGAAAAGGCCAGAAGGCCCCAATTGCTATTACAAACCTAATGATTTTGTGCAGAAAAAAAAAAAGGAAAAAAAACTAATGATTTTTTATTTTTTTGGTATATAAGCGATAATCTAAATATAAGGTGAGGGAGATTTCTCACACACACTACGAAGACACGATCAGAGTTTGAACTTAAAATCAAAGAATGCCTTTTTTCACTATATTAGACTTCGTTAACAATGAATTTATTTTATTTTTATTTTTTGTTTATCACCAAACCTAATGATTTTGACGTGCGAATCTAAGTTCTATGGTTAGGACATTTTGAAAAAGGCCAAATGAGAGAAAAATATTTTGAAAAGAAGTCAAATAGACAAAATGTCTGCATTTATTTTTGGATTTGCTAAGAAATCTCTTATATTTGCATGTCTTTAATTTGAAAGTTGATGGGTTTTTCTGTTTTTTTAGGAAAAATTTGGGCTTCTTCCAAAAGTAAAAGTTTTTTTTATAATTAAAACCTAAATTTACTTATTCAAGAATAGTAGGTCTTGATCAATCAAGTACAGCCGTAGGCTAGATTTTTGTAAAATATTTTAAACAGACAAAGTACTGACTGTACTACATAAACCTAATTCATGATCCACACCATGATGTAACATCTAACCAAACTCCTGTTTTTAATTTATTGAGATTGTCGATTTGTGCGTATTTAATTAGCAACCTGCAGGTCAAAGAGATTTGGAAATTTATGCTAAATATCTTTAATAATAGACAGATTATGTGCGCTGTCACTTTAATACAAAAAATTCTTCAATGTGTGACCATATCACCATACAGTGTATGATTGTTGTGTTTATGATTACGATTACGAGCATACTTTGTAATGGTGAATTCACACCTTATTATAATTTGTGTGAATTTAAATCACTAATTTGTGTGAATTTAAATCACTCTCACATGGGTCTTACCCAAAAACGAAAAAAATATTTGAAACAGCTATCTGTCTGTGCATGATTCTCGCAGCATATCTTGTTTTTCTTTTCTCCGTCTTCGCTCATATTCGGCATATTCCGTGGAAGGACCTTTTAGGGATGAGGTAAGATTCCAACTTCCCAATCACTCATAAGTCCACACGTTTAATATTTTATTCGATTGAACATAACTTTGGGCAAAATATTGATATGTGAATCACCAACAAGAAGTATAAGTATATTCGTGCAGACATTCAAATAAAAGAATAATTATATGTACATATATATTAATATGACAATTTGCTAACTGAACCTTTACAAAAAGCATATGAAAAATGTATGAAAATTCCAAAAAAAATTCAGACCTATGTATGTCACCCAAAATTTGATCCGAATAAAATAACATCATGCATATATACAAATAAATAAAAAAGTATATACAGAATAAAACATGGATGGCAAGTTGCAACATGCATGGCAAAGGCCGCCTATTTCAAATTTGTCTCTACAATCAAGAATGCCCTTTGACACATACAAGAGGACATATATATATACAGTGCCGGCCGGCCCTTCTTATTCAATTTGTTCAAGTTGATCAAAGACTTATCCCCATGAAACTTTTGGCAGCCGTGTTTTTTATCGGGAAAGTTTTATCATGGTAGGGTAGGACAAGAGGAAATTAAATTATTAAACCAACTTTAAGCGGCGGATTCAGAAATTTTTTTATTGACAACTAGATGTAAAGCAACAAACAAAAAAATTTGAGTACTAGATATTTATAAGATTGCAGTCCAGAGACTCCCTCTCATAGGACTTTTATCAAACAGTTTGCTCCCATTGCATACCTTGCCCTAAAGAGCATCAATGAAACTTCATGAATTAGCAAAAAGGGCGAGTATGGAAATAGCCTTCACTCGCCCTCAAATAGATCCACCATTGGCAACTGTTAAGATACCAATTATATGGCCGCGGTCTTATTTATTCTCAGCAAATAAAAAATTGTCACATGAATTAATATAACAAAAAATTTGTGTGACTAGTATGACTGCTATGTGTACTTCTAGCGCATATGTTGATTGGCACTATATGCATGAATGATCGGCTAATATATGTCATGTCGGTCGCTCTCGGGTCCATATAATATAGGTAAAGAAAAAGTTGGGAATAAATAATTGAAAGGGCATTGATATTTATGAAGGCGTGGTTCATTTTCTTGTTCCCTATGTTTAATCCCTTGCCCGCTGACAAGCATAGCATATTATATTTTGTGGCTGTCGCTTTTCCAGGTACATCATGAGCCAAGTGAGTCGAAGAAATATTTATGAGGATACTGTCCGAATACTTGATTGTAAATTGTTAACCAAATGACATGAAAGCCTGAGTCTGATTGTTGCTCGTTTTGAAACCGTCCCTTGTTTGCAACTTGGGGATTGAGGCCTCGTAATTCAAACTCAAGATAAACAAGATTAGAAAAGTCGCAACTTTCAATTACTTTAAGTGATTTTATGGAATTATAGGATTGAACCGTCCGTTGTGTACAACAGGTAACATTGAATCATCCAACACAAACATGAGGCAGACGTTTTTTTTTTTGGTTGAGAAATTATAGGATTGCATTTATAATTCAACTAAAAAAAGCTACAAGTCACAAAGGACCAATACAAACTAGCCACAAAAAGCAATTATAATAACGAAGCAGTCTAACATCAAAATTAAGACAATCTAGTGCGCATCAACTGATGATCACGCATGATCAAAGAAACTTTAGCATATACATCTCAACTAAGATTGCAAACTTAAAATAATATAATAAAAAATTAAAAAAAAATTAAAAAAACTAAGCCATAACAATACAAATAAAACTCTCACAAAAGAGAAATAGAAAGCTCTCACAAAGGAAATGTGAAAAGCTCTTACAAAAGTAAAGGTGAAAACTACACAAAGAACCCAAAAAGTTTCTGCAACTTATTCCAAACATAAAGAAAACGCAAAAAAGATAGTGTGGAGATCCGACGCTGAGACGCAGCTGTCTGTGATAGTTGGATGAAAGTCATAACAAAACGAAGACAAATAGGAAAAATTATTTGCCTCTGAAATTAGGGGAATGGAGGAAGAGAATAAGAGAGAAGAGAGGAAGAAAAACAACTTTCTCCCCCCTCAGAGTGAAAACGGCAAAGTGATTTTCGGGAAAAAGAGGGCTAAGATTTTTTTGAAACTAAAGTCATGTTGCTAATCGTACTTTTTGATCTTCCTATGAGGTAGACGTTCTTAACACTTTGTTATATTATCCAAACATAAGAAAACTACTCTCCCAAGTAAAGTTAATTTTCTCTCATTTTGTCATATTACCAAAACATAAGCAAACTACTTTTTCCCAAGTATTTCTTTATCAGTCTTGGTAAACAAATTATGACATCATTTTTTACACTTACCAGTTAAGAAACACAAACTTTTTTTTTAAGCCGTTCTTTATGTGTCATAATCACTGCTAATTATCTAATTTGGACGGTGAGGTCTGAGTAGGAGCCTACCTAATTGTCAAATATATTGGCTAGGTCATGTCATCAACTTGCAATTTCTCAAGTAAGTTGTGCGGCATCCGTACCGATCTGTCGACCGCACAGCAGAGTTTGGACGATTCTTGTGACTTTTACATGCCACTAACTCTCTGTCAACTTGAAAAATCAACTGGGGACCCTACAGATTTGGCTTTAGATATAGATTTCATCTTCTCTTTTTTTTCTCCGACCGAAAATGTGCGTTGAATTCAACCACATTTCATTCTCATTGTTTAATTTTCTTTTCTTTTCTTCTTCTTCTTGTTGTACCTACCTAGCTGCCCACTTGCTTTAAACATTCGAGATGAGTTGAACAACAGTTGTTATATTTTGCTCTTAATTTAATTTCCTGCTTTCGAAATTTTAGAGAAAATTTGAGTAAATATAAAAATAAAAATAAACTAGTCGTTGGATTTGTGATATTTGTCTTCATTTAATTAGAAGATGTCTCATGTTCGACTCACTAAATGTCGATGACGAATAGATTTTCATGCTAGTTTGCAAACCTGTTTGTAATTATGTAACTAGAGTATTTTCAGTAAAATTTGTTTGTATGGGGCCATGGCATGTTCTATTTTCCAATGTCGTTTTAATTGTTTTATTTATTTATAACTATTTATCCATTTGGATTATTCTCATGGCCATTGATCAGTCATGATCATTATTGGAAAAAGCAGAAAATACAAATCACTCATGATCATCAAACAAGAGATGAGGTCTAACTTGACGTCCCCTTATCTTAATACAATTTCTGAAATCTGTACAATTTGTGATTTTATCAATGTTTTTCCATTAAAATTTTGAGCTTTATGCTTGAAAATGATGGTTGCCTACCGAAAGGTGTAGATGATATGACTGTGGAAAATAGAATTACTCTCAATTTCCGTTGTTTTGGTTGCTGGACTTGCATGCAACAATAATGATGAATATTGGTAGTGTTTATGATATTGAAAGCTGAAATTGCTATAAGGAGTTTTCCTTATCTTCAAGGCCATCATGTTTGCTTCTACTTGAAAGGAAATAATAATATCATGAATATGATCGATCAGCCAAAATTACATGACTTAAGCAAAAAAATTTCCTTCCATTGAAACCTTATTTTGTTGGATCTAATAATTAAGATTGATTAGTGTCTGACTCAATGTATGAAGAGTTTTGCAGGTAAAGATAATCAATCTATAAACATCAATGATACTGAAATTCCGGATATATCAAAATCATTTGATAGTTGGAATCAATTGACATATTTTGTTTTTTCCTTGAACAAACCATATGATATTTATAATTTACTTTTATAACGAGTCAAAATTTTCACAACAATGTTACACCATTATCTTCATCGACATCTTTGCGAGTCGAAGTTACCAACTAAATTAGGCAATATCATGACTAGTTGATATTCACGACCAACTTCCTTATTCAACATAAGATTTTTGGGTAAAAGTTATAGATGTGTGATTATTCGCAAACTACTGTTTAAGCAAACCCTTTGAATTTAGGAATTTATGTATAAAAAAAAACAAAATATAATTTTTGTATTCAGAAATAAAAATATATACACTCAGATGAACGCTTTGCAGGCAAGAGAGACAAGTCATTTGTCATTATGTTTTTTATTTAGCTATAAACGTTGTGATACGTGCGCGTACTTTTATGCTTTTCCGAGACAAATAAACCTGATAAGCAGACCACCGGAAAAAGAGCGGTCCATCCCACGTGCAGGCAGTGCCAAAATCGAACAGCCTGTCATGAAAGAGATGCTTTTTTATTTAAAAATAATAATAAAATTTAAAAAATTTATACTTTTCTAATAAAAAAATAAAAAGCATTTTCTGATGGAGATGAAAATAAAAGTAGATAATATAAAATAAAAAATATATAGAAAATTGAGGCACAAGATAATATACATACTTTTTAGTATGGATACAAAAATTTTAAAAAATAAAACATAAGTAAGTTAGATTAGTCGGCCAAACAGTGAGTTCGCTCTTTTGCATTTAAATTTGAGTATCTCTCTTTAAATTATATTAATTTAGATTAATTTAATATAGCACTTGTATTAAAAAAAAAGAAGAAGGATGCATCTACAGTTTTTTTGTTGTTGTTGATAAAATGCAATCACCGTTCACCGTCTTCTCATAAATTGTTTTTAGGAACTTATCTCTTTTGTTTTTTCCAAATGAAATAGTTTTGTTCTTATCTGCTTGATAAGCCAATGTCACCTAACATGCACATGGGAATAGTTCTTAGGGAGCTTTAGTAATATACCCAAATGGGACCTGAATTTATAAAAAACCCCACATAGAATACACTTTATAAACACCACCCAAAATCCATTTATTATAACACAATTAGTGTTCAAGTTCCTATAAATTACAGGTCTGCCACTATCAAGCCCAACACCAAACAAACTCAAAAGACACCCAAAACACAAACCCAGCCCAAACTTATAAACAAGCCCAAACCGTAACTTTCGTCCAAAAAAAAAAGTAAAACCGTAACTTTAAAAAAAGTAAACCAACCGTAACTTCCAGCACGCGCACTTTCATTAAACGTTCTCTGCAAAACGTCTCTTCACTTCACTCATCGTCTTCATCAAGTCAAATCGTCTTCATCAATTCGTCTTCATCGTCGTCGAAACCGAGACTCCATAACCACCACCAAGATTGATCTCGTTTCAAAAACAAACTCCAGACACTGACCAAGACAAAATTTCAGAGAACCATTTCAACAAGAAAACGCTTCAAAGGTAAGACATTTACAAACCAAACCTTTACTGTAATATTGATTATTTGCTATAAAAGATCCAGTCTAGGGTAATAACAGTATTTTAGATTCGAATGAAAGACAAAATCTTGAAACTATATTGGATTTCACTATAGGACTGACTGCATAGGACCATTACTTTAGTCACTAATTTAGCGGCTAGCATGCTGATTATTGGCTATAAAGTTCCAGTATATGGTAATAACACTGATTGTTCCCTATGAAATACTATTTCTAAGGCATGTCTACCACTGTCAAGTTCCAGTATAGATAAAGTTCCAGTATATGGTAATAACACTGATTGTTCCCTATGAAATACTATCTCTAAGGCATGTCTACCACTGTCAAGTTCCAGTATATGGTAATAACACTGATTGTTCCCTATGAAATACTATCTCTAAGGCATGTCTACCACTGTCAAGTTCCAGTATATGGTAATAACACTGATTGTTCCCTATGAAATACTATTTCTAAGGCATGTCTACCACTGTCAAGTTCCAGTATATGGTAATAACACTGATTGTTCCCTATGAAATACTGTCTCTAAGGCATGTCTACCTCTGTCAAGTTCCAGTATATGGTAATAACACTGATTGTTCCCTAAGAAATACTATTTCTAAGGCATGTCTACCTCTGTCAAGTTCCAGTATGGGGTATTAACACCGATACTTTACTGTCGTGTTCCTATTTCTAATGCAGGTATACCAATTAAAAGATGAAGAAAGAAAGAGCCAGAAGAAACTCCAAAACAAAAGGCCAACAGTCATCATCCAAAACAACAACAAACAAGAAGCCTACCAGATGGGAGGACCCAAATTATGTGCAGATCAAGAGCAACATGCTCTCTTTTGCAACAACAATTGACAACATCAGACAGAGACTTGAACGTCGGCACGATGTCTTAACACTGCTATCAAAGACACCTTTTTGGGCATTAATAGAAGCATATATCCAGAGAAGGTTAACAAAGGTAGAGTGCATGAAGTCTAACTACGACATTGTGAGACTCATACAAGTTTATGACACAAAGACAAAGAAGTTCAAGTTTAATGATGTTGACAGCGAGATGAAAAGCAATGATGTGGCTGAAAATTTTTGGCTTGCCAAACAGTGGCAAGAAGTTACCAAGCACAACAACCTCAACAAGGGCCAAAATTGCAGTTTGTAGAGAAATACTTCGCGCGCGGTATAAGAAGATAACAAAGACTTCAATTGATAAGTGCTTGAATTTGGCACTTGAAGATGAAACAGAAGAGGGTGCTATGGATGTAACAAGATTGATAATCCTACAACTCTTCATGACCAATCTATTCTGCAACTCTGGTTGTACACTTGCTTGGACATATACAACCACAATAGACACCTTAGAAGAGATGGGGAAATATAATTGGGCTCGAGGAGTTTTGGACTACATGTATTTTGGATTAGAACAAGCAAAGAAGAACAAGAAGGACAAAAAAAGCAGCCAAGCGTGAGTGGCTGCCTAATCCTAATACTGGTAGAACACAAATCTCCAAACTGCAAATTCGTAGCATTATTCTAATGATATGATTGACACGTGATATTTCAAAAAATATTTGTGCAGTATTGGCTGTGTCAAAGATCTAACCTGCTCACTCCAATTCCTGGAAGAGAACAAATGACACCAGCTGCTGTCAAATGGAGTCTTCAAGAACTCAGCGCGAAGCTTCATCATCTAAAGAACAACCAGATAAAGGTACTCTTTCCTCTCAAATAATCTGCAGCTGATATGACAACATTGTTAATACCATGTCATGTACATACTTGTTAATACCATGTCATAGAAGTAAACTATGAATACCATGTCACAGAGGTAAACTATGAATACCATTTCATAGAAGTACACTATTAAAACCATGTCATAGAATTACACTCTTAATACCATGTCATAGAAGTGCACTCTTAATACTAACTCTACTCAACAAACAGATAAAAAGCACTAAAGCTCAAGAGCCAGATGATGATTCTGAAGAAGAGAATGAAGAGAATGATGATGATTCTGAAGAAGAGAATGAAGAGGAGGATGATGGTGCTGAAGAAGTGAATGAAGAGCATGATGATGATGCTGGTGAAGAAGTGAGTGAAGACAAGGATGATGCTGCTGAAGAGGTGAATGAAGAGCATGGTGATGCTGCTGAAGAAGAAAATGAAGAGGAGGAGGATGCTGAAGTGAATGGAGACCATGATGATGCTGCTGAACATCAAGTCCAGCAACACCACCAGGTACAAGAAGACCTCCAAAATGAAATCCCAGAATACCGGAATTCAACGTTGTTTGAGGAAATTGTTAGATCAGTACCAGAATACAAGGAGGATGAAATACAGCTTACAAAAGAGTATATGATGGCGATCAATAATGCTGCTGAATATTGGACGAAGAAAGGAGAGCATCAAAAGATCCGTGATGCAATAGCATCTTGCATTAAAAAGAATAAATTGATTCAGATGCTGTACAATGAAAAAGAAGAATTATTGAAGCATCAGCAGCAACTGCAGAAGATGGTTAAGGAAGCAGCACATCACAAGAAAGTCATACAATTAGATGTTCATCAGGAAAATCCTACATGACAAAGCTGCAGCTAGAAAATGATCAACTTCTTGCAGAGAAGATTTCCTACTTGGACATTATTAATGAAAAGGAAGCTGTTATTGTCTCGTTGAGAGATCAAAATTAGCGCAAGAACTGCAGAGTGAAGAGGATAAAGAAGAAAAGAAGAAGGTGAAGCAGAAAAGATAAATCAAGAAACCCATTCCTCATTCCCTAAAGCAGAGACGAGAGCACACAAAGAGAAAGGCACAAAAAAACCAGCCAAATCAAAGAAGAGGGCCAAAGGTTCATTCCTGCAATGGAATACATATCAGGGTCTACAACATGCTGGATGAACTCTCACAAGAAAAGCTGAGAAATTACTGGAAAAATTCAGTTGATGGGTAAGGCAATGTTTTTCATTCATTTTCAATGCAAGATGCTATTATTGAACATGCATTAGAAAATAGGATTTCATTGTGTTATTACCCTATACTAGAACTTTACAGGGGTAGACATGCATTAGTTATAGGATTTCAGAGGAATCTAGCAGTGTTATTACCCTATATTTGGAACTTTGCAGTGATAGACATGCATTAGATGTAGGATTTCATAGGATACAAGCAGTGTTATTACCCTATACTGGAACTTTACAAATGGTAGACATGCGTTAGAAAAAGGTTTTTTAGGAAACAAGCAGTATTATTACCCTATACTGGAACTTTATTGAACAGTTCTTTCAATTTTATTGCCATTTTTTCTGACTACAAATACTGTTACAGCACTGCTTTTTGGCAAGGGACAAGCATTTTGTTCAAAGATGACATACAAAGCTTATTAGGGAGATACTGAAATTTATGGACAAATCATAGATGCGTATGCCGAGATACTTCATCATGATGAAAAGAAGGACCCTAAAAGACAACAGAATGCATACATCACGTGCTACGCATACGTAAGATCATAGCTATCCCATTACTTCTAGTAAAAATCACAAATTATTCATCTTCCTATACTTTTCACATTCTCTCTAATGCCGAAACTATTAATTTTGCAGAGGTATCTCACAGATAAAATGCACCCAAGAACATTCGATGAATATTTTGTCAAACTCCTTGAATGCATAGGGAAAACTTCAAAGGTGTTCATACCAATAACGGATGGCGGACACCACACCCTGCTTGTCTTCGACACCAATTCATTGCAATGGACGCACTACAACTCATTGAGGGGGAAACTGAGCAAACCGTTGAATACTACAACAAAAAAGCAATAATTTTGGTAAGACAGACTCCTACTATGAACTGTTAATACAAGGCATGAACAAAACAGTTAATCAGTGAAGCTAACAACATACTTGCCTACAATGCAGGCAGACGCAACAAATGTCTTCCTCAATAGCGTCAAGGAATGTGCTCCAACAATTTTAGAAAAAAACAGCTTCCCACTTCTTGAGTTCAAGAAGCCCGTCTACAATGAAGAATTGACCGACGAGATTGCAAAACTTCTTCGAAACCTGAAAGTTACACCAGCAATTGCTCAAAACAATACAATATCTGATGAAACATGATCCCACCAAATTCAACTTTAAGGAGGACAGGGAATGCGCCCAACAACCTGAAAAGTCGTAAGTTTCACAATAACACTTTTCTTCCCCCAATTCAAATTAAACTATGATTCACTAAATGTTGCATATATATGTGTGTGTGTGTGTGTGAATTTGCAGAAACGATTGTGGAGTATTTGTCATGTACTACATGCAGAAGTTGTCACAAGGAAAACAAATTGAAGAAAGCTTGAGTACAGAGCATGTGTGGGAAATGAGAAAAGAAGTTTTATTGAAGACAATGGAAAGTGAAAAAAGTTGGTATTTCACAAAAGAGAATGAAGGATGAAAGCATGGGATTTCACAAATTTTAGAACTATAAAATAGTAAATGTTCGGCTTCTAACTTCCAAATGTCAAATTGTTAATATGTAGCTTCTAACCAAAATCTTTTGATGCTTCTTAACTTTCAAATGTCAAATAGTTACTGTGTAGTGAGATTCAAATGTAAAAAATTGTTACTCTATAGCTGCTTCTATATTTCAAACTGCGAATTAACAGTGTTCAAAATGCGTATTAACAGTGACTTTCAAAAGCCCAGCCCAAGTTGAGAAAATCAAGGTCAGAAACGAAGTAAAGCCCAAAACAAATCAACCAAGCCATAGAAAAATACAGAAAAAAGGCCCAGTCTGATTTGACAAAAAAAAGCCCAAACAAACCAAAAAAAGAGCCCAGAAAACTCAACAAGCCAATAAAGCCCAATTTCACTAAGCCCATTGAAAAAAAAGAAAATATCTCAACGCAGAGTACACGCACGCACCCAAAAAGCGAAAAACCCACTCACCCTCTCACTCCGATCTTTGCGACGCGACCCACTCCAAAAGCAGGCGAAAACCTCCATAACCACCAGGCAGGAGACAACCTCCATAACCACCAATCAACGACAAACTCCATAACGAGAAAGCCGGCGAATCGAAGTTATATTCTGCCATAGCCAAAAGTCTTCAAAATCGACACTACAAAAAGCAACTGAGCACAAGGACAACCAGGAAAAAGGGAAGAAAATTTCTTCCATAAACATCGACAGAAAGGTACAATCTCAAAAACCCACAATGACTTTCCACTTTCGTCTTAAGATTCTGCTAACTAATGCAAGAGTACCACGTTTAATACAGGTAACCAACGAAAAGGTCCAACAATGACAGAAACAAACACTCAAGATTCTTCACAAATGGCTGACAAAGCATCACTATCAGACTCCCAGGTATTACAAAATCTCTTAACGTCAAAGTCCAATAGCAATGTTTTGAAAAGACGCATGTTTCGACTGCAAATGTATACGTTTCACAACTGTTCATACCATGTCATAGAACTTGAACTGTTAATACCATGTCACAACTGTTAATACCATGCATCTTGCTCTTCTAGGGCACTGCGAAGCAGTGCACTTGAAGACCAAAATATATAGCATCCTTTGTTAATCAAAATCTGTGACTGCTATGCATCTTTCTCTTCTAGTGCACTGCTTTGCAGTGCACTTGAAGACCAAAAATATAGCATGCTATGTATCTTGCTCTTCTAGTGCACTGCAAAGCAGTGCACTTGAAGACCAAAATATGTAGCATCCTTTGTTAATCAAAATCTGGGACTTCTATGCATCTTGCTCTTCTAGTGCAACATGCACTAGAAATGTATATGAAAAAAAATCGTAGTGCACTAAAAAAGAGAAGCATGAGGTTCAAATGCATAGAAGTAAATGGTTAATACCATGTCATAGAAGTATTAATACTTATGTTTCATCTTTCTTTTGTTTAGTTAAAGTAACCTATTTGTTTCACTTTGCAGGTGGTCATATGGAAAAAGGTAACCGGGTTGAAATTCAAAAAAAAAGCATACAAAAGGATCACAAGCCAGCCAAAGCACAAAACAGCATCAAGAAACACACAAGGCACACCACCAACAACAGCAAAAGCCAAACTATCCACACCCAAATCCGCAAACACACTGAAACCAAAGAAAACAACGAAGACAAAAAAAACACAATCCCAAACACAAAAACCTCAACCAAACAGACGCAATAACCCAGATTATGTGCAGATCAAGAGCAACATGCTCACATTTGACAACACATTGCAAACGGTAAAAGACAAGCTTGCAGCAAGAAAGGATGTCCTCAAGATCCTACAAAAACGCCATTCTGGAGCATCATCAAGGCTTACATGGAAGGTCAGTTAACCAAGGTAGAATGCCAGAAGTCTAATTATCAAATAATTAAACTAATCAGACTCTACAACCCCGCAACCAAAAAATTCAAATTCAGTGAAGGCAACGAGCATGAAATTACAAGCAATGATGTGTCTGACATCTTTGGATTGCCAAACAAAGGAAACAAGTTGCCAAGCACAACAACTTCCACAAGAACAAATTTGGCCTTCGAAAAGAAGTACTTCGAGAAGTCAAAAAAAATCACAAAAACTGAGATTGATAGGTGTCTGAACACAGCAATAGCAGATGACAGAAAGAAGAATGCAATGGATGTTGTCAGGTTGTTAATCCTAGAGCTCTTCATCACAAATCTCTTTTGCAACTCTGGGGCGACAATGGCTTGGACCTTTTTGACTATGATCGACACATTAGAAGCTATGAACAGCTACAACTGGGCACAAGGAGTCTTAGATTACATGCATTATGGACTGGACCAAGCCATAAAAAATAAAAAGGACAAGACAAATCAACCAAGCGTCAGTGGTTGCCTTGTGCTAATCCTGGTAAGAAACTACATCCATTTGTTAATCCTGTTATATTATTTGTTTTCATGTGCATTAACACTTTATATTGAAAAACATGTTTGCAGTATTGGCTGTGTGAAAGAACTAACCTGATCAGTCCAATTCCTGGAAGAGAAGATCACAAACCAGCGGCTGTCAAATGGAGCCTTCCGGAGCTCAATATCAAGCTGAATATTGCAACATATGAAAACATTAAGGCATTTTTCTTACTTCCATAAACATATATAATGTTAGTACACCATAATTACTACTGACTCCAATAATTCAACAGATAAAAGCTGCTGACAATGAAAAAGAAGAAGCAACAAAGACTGATCATGCAGACCATGAAGAACAAGAAGAAAATGAAGAGGATGATGACTTTGTTATCACACTTAAAGATTGGGTAAGATAACCTACAATCATCCAACATTTATATTTCAAAACTGAATTGATAGTGTACAAACACATATACATGTATATAAATTTGCTAATACTTTTTTTTCCTTTCTAATATTTGTGACAGTTAAAGAGTCAAACACAAAAAGGAAAAAGCCAGACTGTTATTACCCAGAAACAGAACTTCAGCTTCCATGAAAATGTGGACCAAAGTGCAACCCAGACAAAAACTCCACAACAGGAGCAAAATGAAGACAATGCACAATCATTGGGATGCAAAGCAGATGATGAAATTGAAGAACCACCAGCACAATCATTGGAATGCGAAGCAGATGATGAAATTGAAGAACAAGCAGTTGACCTTAGTGCAGACTCAGTGACGGAGGAGGACACTGTTAATGTCCAGCAACAGAACCCAGAACTTGACAGCCAAGAAGAAGACTTCGACTCCATTTTTGTGGACATAGTGGGGTCAATCCCAGAGTACTACAAGCATGAAATAGCCCTACCCATGAGAAAATCCAACAGCTGAAAGAAGCAGTCGACTATTGGATTGAAAAGGCAGATACTCGAAGGGATATGATGCAGACTGCTATAGAATCCTGCATAAAGAAAAATTCATTCATTCAACAAATATGGACTGAAAAAGAAGAGTTGGAGCAACAAATTGAAATACTGAAAAAGCAGCTTGAGCAAGAGAAAAAAGAAGGTGCAAAATTACAAGGGGAACTGCATGCACTCAAATCAAATAGGAGACAGCTACAGGAACAACATGAACTACTTGAAGGGGAAAAGTTGTCCTGCATTGAGAGCATGAAAGAAAAAGACACTGTTATTGCCTCTTTGCAACAAGTGATGGGAAAAAAAATCAAACAAGGTGAACAAGGAGAAATTCCGATGAAAGAACAAGCTGATAAGGAGAAAAAAGATGAGAGAATAGCAGAAGAAAGTGAATTGGAGATGCAAGAATCTCCTAATGATGAAGATGAGAACGCCGATGGAAAAACTCCTGAAAAGTTAGTTATCATGCAAGCAAAAGAAGTAGGAACACGGCCGTTGCGTTCTGGCATCAAAATAATCAAAGACAGAAAAGACAGAAAGCCTGCAAAGAAACCAGATTACACATACCCCGAAGCACATAAGAAAGGCCGAAAAAGAGCAAGCCAAAGCGAAGATGAAGCAGCCAACAAAAAAAGGAGGACAAAGATACATACCTTCAGTTGCACATGTATGAGGTCTACAACAGGCTGGATGAAATATCAAAGAAGAAGTTGGAAAATTACTGGAAATCTGCATCTGATTCTGAGGAGTAAGCCAATCTGTCACAGATTTACACTGTTAATACTATGCCTTAGAACTGTCATAGAATTACACTGTTAATACTATGTCATAGAACTGTCTTGTTATTAAACTATTATGAGATTATCATTTTTAAACAACATTATTGTCGCAGGGACGCTTTTTACCTACAAAATAGGACAATATTGTACAAACATAACATTGAAAAGCTGATGGGAGATGGTCCAATTTCTGCACTAATCATCGATGCTTATGGAGAGGCACTTAATGATGATGCGAAGCAGAACCCTCAGAAACAGAAAAATGCATATTTGTCCGCCAATAACTATGTAAGATCACATCTAATACATCAATTTTATATCATCAACATGCTCACTAATCACCAACACATGACTTTTGCAGATGTTTTTGCGAGGTGCCTCACACAAGCTGACATATCATGCTTTCTATATGCCACTCCTAGAAAATATTGGAAGAGTTGATAGAGTGTTCATACCAATTACAGATGAGAACCACCATACGCTGCTTGTCTTTGACACCGGTGCAGCAAAATGGACACACTTCAACTCATTCAGGGGGACATCAGAACAAACTCTCCAATATTATCACAAGAAGGCAATTGTTTTGGTAAGTAAGACTGGTGATTAACACTGTTAATACATAGGACACTAAATTTAAAGGAAACTAAGCACATACTTGACTATGATGCAGGTTGAGACAGCAAATATATTCCTCTGTCTTCTTAAGGAATGTGCTGCAGTATCACTGAAAACAAAACTCGTCCAAATTCCTGATTTTGATGCCAAGAAGCCGAGAGGGCTTAATGAAGCTTCAGCTAGAATGATAACAAAATACTTGCCAGCAACGAACTTACACCAGAATATGCTCAGACAATGAAGTATCTGATTTGTCATGATACTACTAACTTCAAGCTGACTGAGAACAGAGAATGTCCCCAACAAGCAAACAATTCGTAAGTTACGCAATAACAGTGAAACTTTCATCCTATTCAACTAAAAAAAATACTGAAATAACTCCTGCATGCGTATCTCTATTATGCAGCAATGATTGTGGCGTCTTTGTCATGCACTTCATGAAGCAGCTTTCCAAAGACCAACAAATAGAATCAGATTTCAACAAAGAAAAGGTCTGGCAAATGAGAAAAGAAGTCCTCATGAAAATTATGAGCAATGAAAGAAGTTGGATTTCCATCAAAGAAAGAGAAGAGAGAAATGCAAAATAATGAAGTTGTAATCAAATATTTTGCCAAAATTCTTGCTTATATTGTAGTTTCTTAGGACTTGTGTAGGTTTAGAACATTGAAGTAAAGTGATTTTCAAATTCAAGTTATGTACTTATTCAAAAACCAGTTTATTTACGTGAATTAACAGTGTATGTAACCTGAAATAATGGTCTCCATAGCACTAAAACAACTAAAAAGGTGAACTACAACAAATAACAACGCACTCTCAATTCAATGTTAATGCTATTTGATAGAAATAAATTGTTAATACCATGTCATAGAACTATCTTTCAATTTCAACAATGGCATGAACAGTGAGCATTAAATAGTGTTCGTTCATTTATAGATTATTCAAACAGCAGTAATGCTTAATTCATATCAAACTTCAAAACCGAAATTTGCAAAATACCAAAAATGGTAAATATTATGTATTAATACCAAAAATTCAAAGTGTATTCATATGCAGTGACTGCTATTTCACCGTATTAACAACTTGCATATCAATTTCTATTCCTTTCAACTATGATTGTCATTAATCAATCACATAGCACTTTAACTAGTTAAAAACTAACTACTCTCATTCAAGTCTTTATACTCAGAACCTTTACATCAAATAGGAACCTTGCAAGTCCTCCTATTATGACGATCACAAGAACCGCATCTCTTGCACTTCACCTGCCTTTTAGTTTCACTGCTTGACTTGAAGCGCTTTGTCGGAGGTCGTCCCGGAGGCTTTCTTGTATGAGGAGGTAGAAGAAAAACATCTGCAGGAGGAGGCTTCTCAATATCAGGTATGGGAAATATAGGGGTTGCATAAGTAGCCTTATAAAAGTCTGCCTTGTAATACTCATCCACAAAGTTGTACAAACATAACCCGGAATGTTGGATAACTTGAATCGCATGCTGACACGGAAACCCAAGCAATTGCCACTGATAACAGGAGCAAAACCTCTCGTCCAAATTGACCATAACACTCAAATCAGCATGAACTTCAAAAACAGATTCACTCGCGCGACATATCCTCCAATGACGACCCTTTGCAGCTAAATTCTTCAACTCATCCTCAATAACAGGACACAAAACACTACTCCATTTCTCGGATGCAAGCTTCCTCCTAGAAATCATCTCCATCATTTTGATCCTAACAGTGTCAATCATCTCATAAATTGGAAGCCTACGCACATCCTTAATCCATGAATTAAAAGACTCGGACAAGGCATTACTAACCTCCCCATACCTCTTTCCCGGAAAAAATGCATTAGCAAAATTTTGGACAGGGAGATCAGCCAAAAACTTATCAATTATTTTTGAACCGCCATCATCTCTTAATTTTTTCAACGTATCTTGATATTCCTCAACAGTCGGTGCATACAACAACTTACAAAAAAGCCATAAAATATGATCCTTGAAAGAGGAACCAACAGCATGCGGATACTTCTTTTTCAAGTTCTCTTTCAAATGATATAGACAAAAACCATGGGGAGAAGCAGGAAAAACAGTCCTAACAGCATCGATAATAGCACCATGCCTATCAGAAATGAATGTAAGTTGCCTACCTTCATCAACCAAGACTTCAGATATCCTTTGCAGAAACCACCTCCAATTATCCACGGTTTCACCGGATACAATCGCAAAGGCAAAAGGGAATACTTCTACAAGAAACAGAGAACTATATTAGTTAGTTTGAACTGTAACAGTGTTACCACATAAAGCAGAGTAAAACTACAATGCATAAAAATACTCAGATGCAGGGTATGAACAGTATAGAAACTGTTCATACCACTCAATGGAAGTCAACAACTACAGCATTTACATTTGCATAACTACACTGTTCATACCACTCAATGGAAGTCAACAACTAGAGCATTTACATTACATACCTTTATTTCCATTCTTTGCAGTAGCTCCTAGAAGAGTACCCTTGTACTTGTTTGTGACGAAAGTACCATCAATGAACAGCATAGGCCTACACCACCGAAAACCATCAATGGAGGCCTTAAAACATATAAAGATCCGCTGGAAACGAGAACCATCCTCGCCACAGTCAAGCACACAATGAGATCCGACATTGCTGGCCTTCAAAACATTCACATACCAAGGCAGGTGAGCATAAGACAACTCCTCATCACCATGCAAATCCTTAGTAGCCGACTCCTTCCCATACCACGCAACATGATAAGGGATATCCAATCCATAATTCTCCTTCAAATCAGTAATCAGCTCAATAGGCCTTACCAAAGGATTGCTACGAACCTTATCTTTGACAATTGAAGACACCAAACGAGACCCCATTGCCTTATTTCTCTTCTCACGGATCAAACCACTGCAACTGTGTGCATTATTTAAGTTCTTAATATAAAAAAATCCATTTACATTCGACTTAACAGCATGCACATGCCACTCACAGCCATTTGATTCCTTCTTAGCACACACAGCAGTAACACGACGAGGCTCATTTTTCAAATATTTCATCTTAAAACCATTCTCAATCGAGTACTTAGCCAACTTATCACGGAATTCACAAACTCCACCCTCAAACTTCTGACCCTCATGAGTAATATAACCCTCCCAATCAGTAGACAAATACTTACGACCTCCACAACTACCATATTTGCCTAAATATTCATTTCCATACTCACTGCTAATACCATCAAAATCCATACTCAAAGAAGAAGAAGAAGCTGCATTTGAATCAACAATACTACCAGTTTGAATTGAATATTTACATGTATCCTCATCTTCTGCAAAACTGTAATTGTTAGGAACAGCCTCCAACAAAAAAGGAGAAGCAATTATGTTCGTATTAACAGTTTGAACATAATTCACTACAGCCTTATCCCTAACAGCAATGTGAATTAATTGATCCTTCGTCAGTCCACATACCATAAACATGATTTTCAAATCATCATCCAATTCCAATAAACAATTGGAGCAATCCGTATAAGAGTACCTCAACTCAAAATGACCTAACTTCAGCTTGAACCTACTACACAACTCGTTGGACAGCCAATCAAAAGTAGTAGTTGAAGACAAAATAAGCATTAAAGTTCCACCACCATAGGTGCACTTTGCCACTCTCGAATCATCCATATCTATACAAAAAAACAACAAACAAAACAAAAATGACTACTAGCAATAACAGTGGATGCCGGGTATTAACAGTGAATTATAGTCGACTCAAAAACCAATAGTGCATAAACAGAAAAAACACGAATATACTCAGATTCAACTGAAAAAAACCTCAATTAATATGAAAACCAAATCGAATATCACAAAAGTTTCACCACACCTCAAATCAAAACACAAGAGCAAATCCACAATCAAAACGAATCTGAAATCAATCCAAATTATAAACAAAAAGAAACGAAAACCTAATCAGCAACTTAATTAATCGAACATGAAATCACCAAAAATCAGACTACAATATAATCGAATCCTCAAAAAACGAATATGAATTCACAAGAAAAAATCGAAATACCTCAAAATCGAAGATCACAGATCGCACCAAGCTCCAATCGAGTCTCTTGCAGCGCAATATCAATCCAAAAATTACCAAATCAAACAGCAAAGAACAAAAAAATTGAAGCAATAGAACTCCAATCTACACCATACTGAGCTCAGAAGAATCCAAAAAGAAGATCTGAAACCACATCATACTGAGCTTCGTTCGAAGAGGTGAACGAAGCTCGCTTCGTTCGAAGAACTGAACGAAGCTCGTTTGGAATATTCGATCTGCTGAGGCTGCCAAACAGGTTTCTGTTATGAGGTCACCAACGTAAATTTTCAAATATTCCTATCCTAGCTGGCGAATTTTGGGCCTGTTTCAAAGAATTCAGACCAAAAGGTCAAAACCGTAATCTAACATAGAAAATAAATCCAAAAATTGACAGCTGTTGGTTTTTGGGTTTATTTTGGGTGTGTTTATATGTTTTAAATAGTCTAGGGTTTTATTATAGTTTCATGTCTAGAATTGGGTGTTTCACTAATTTTCTATTTATTAAATCCCCATGTTCATAACAGGCATGGCCAGGTTTAGTGCAAATATACCTAGTACGGTGCGGTCAGCTAAGCTTTGCTAAGTGATGCCGTGTTGGCGTAGCACCCTGCATGTGAACATACAAATATTCTCCGCGGGGTGTCACGGTTTAACATTCACGCGTTGACAAAAGCTAAAAACACGCAACAATGCCTCTAGAATTTGGATCTTGTCTTGATTTAAACTAATTAAGAAATTATGCCATAATTGGATTAGTCCAAAATTAGCGTACCTGTCCCTCCAATGTCACCTGGATTCTGGAGGAAACTTCCCGGCTGACATTGTTTTGTCACCTTCTGAATGTTTAATTAAAGGATTAAAAGGTGTTGAGAGTATTTATCCCACATTGAAAAGTTAAGAGATTTAGTCTGGGTTTATAAGGAGTTGGGCTACTCCTATAATTGCCAATTGGTTTTGGAGTGGAACCTCAACTTCTTTCATGGTATCAAAGCAAGCTTCCACGTGTTGGGGCCAACGGCCACACGTCACCTAATATGTGTTGTTCACGTTTTAAGTTTGAAAGTTCGCCACACGTGCGAGAGTGTTTAAAAAATACACCCCCAATGTTCGGTTCTTAAAAGTCGACATCAACAAATCATAATTTGACACGTATTGATT